TGACTGGAGTTCAGACGTGTGCTCTTCCGATCTATGCATGAACGATGACTGAAATAAACGCTAATGCATGGATCGAATTTATTTTTTCTTATCGGCCGCCCGAATTGTCATCACTTTTTCCATTATATTTATGATTATTTTTATCTATTTCAGGTAAAGGTTTCTTTTTAATTGTAGGAACGTTATTCCTCTCTTTATATGTTATTTGTCTATTTCTCACACACACGTTCATTCGTTCGTATAAAATACAAAGTACATTATAATATAGAATTTGATATATTATTAGATCGAATGTTTTTTATCGTTGCTACAATACGCTTATAAATGTAAAATAAATTTAATTATGTGATCGGACAATACGTAAGATTAAATATGAAATATTCATAGAAAATATATAATACTAAAATGTTAACATGAAATTAAAAAATAAAAAAAATAAGAAAAAATAATAAAACAATCTTCTCCTTCACTCTTCCATGGTAAGGGGTGGTGTTAATACTTCAAAACGCGGACTTTCTTCCTTGAATCCCACCTCCTCTTCACCTGCGACATCCGGTATCTTTGCTTTTTCGGGCTGTAGATTCTCCCGCGCTTTCATCCATCTTTTTACTATTTTTAGTGCTTGTTCCGCAACGGACGACGAATCTTGACGGCGGCTGCCGACATCAGCCGAAACCGGCTCAGGCTCTTGTCGCGTCCTGCGGTGGGCGGGATTGTTGGACAAAAGTCAGAACGCGGACAAATAGATTTAGGAATATTTGACTCTGGAAGTTGGGAGTTAGGGAATTGTTTGCTAGGGGAAGTGACTTCTAGAGGTCGAAATAGTCCTGAGAAATGCAGACGACAGAAGCTGCTTTGTCTAAATGAGGAGTTGCCTCGGAATAGGTTAAGTATTTAGCAAAGTCTTCGCGAAAAAGTTTGCAAATAGAGCAGTGGCGCACCGTGCGCAGTTTCGTAATCATTTGTCGGCAAGAGCAACAATGTTCAAATCCTTCGGCTTCTAAATACCGAATCGTAAATAATGGCGATTTACTAATTCGAATGT